TATTTTAATATTTAATAATAATATTTTATTGTGATTAGACTGATAAAATTGAACAAGTATATATTCAACACAATATGACGCAACATTATCATCTCATACTGATATCTATAAAATTAAGATATTTTTGTCACACTATTGGTCACTGCTGCCTCTATCATCAGGGCGACGATAAACGTTGGTAAACTGCTACCATATTACACGGCTCACCACCGTGAAAACCTCAAATCATACTTAAAATGTTCGCTTTCGTTTAAATTAATATGTTTGCAAGGATATAGATAAAATTAGTTACATAAATCTTTGTTCATAATTTAAATTAGTACAGTTTCTACGCTCGAGTTAAGCTTCCAGAACTTACAGCTAAGTAAAGAAGGAATATTTTTAATTCTCAAGTTAAGAAGATCTGTTTGATATAAATTTAATAAGTGCCTATATTTATTATGCATCAAAACACAAAACTTCATATACCTAGCATCAATCTTGAATTAGTTATCGTCATGAAACATAGAGGCAAATACGTATTTATAGCTCAGTCGCCAAGTTACTATAAGATACGAATGTGATACTTAGCTTTCTAGGTGTAAATGCGATAAGCACGTGTCTTTAACAAGAAAGAACGATATTTCTTGCTGATCGAGTAATTTTTATCGTGATATAGTTGCACAGATTCTGCTGAGGGCAATCTGACCCCTGTTGACCCAGCTTCGTCAGGGGCTCGTGTCGCTTACTGAGTGGTCACGATGGTTATAAAATTATCTCTGAACGAACTCTGTGCCACAGCAGTGTCCACCATCGCCCTAGAAACATGTGGTCGAAAGCTGCTATCTGTCTTCTCCTCGGTAAGCTGGTACTCAAGAATTCTTGCTGGTAGCCCTGAATATTACGATTTCAAAAGTATTGGTTTTAAAGTGTGATTTCGATAGAATCTAATGAATGAAATTTGAATGTGGGACTTTCAATTTAAAATATGAAATTTTTCAATTATCTATAGCTACATAAACATTCAGCAATGTACAGCATCGTTCTCGGAGCTTTTAGAACAGTTACAAATAAGTTTATAGTTTAGATGCGTCATGTTTGTGTTTTAAAATTCAAATATATATTTATTATTCAAGTCTATATACAAACTTTTAAATTGTTGATGTTAAAATTTAAAATTAATATTAATATTCTGCGCCATTCATCGTTATCTCGATGTAACATATAATATAACATGTAATATATATTTGAAGTTACAAATAACTTATTGAAAATTAAATGGTTAGAAAAACTTATAAAAACGCTTAGTTCTTTGATAGGCTTAGAAAGAATACAATTTGTTGTCTCAGAATCTCTAAAGTAATTTTAATTTTCAAGAAATCTTAACAGATTAAAATACAACAAAAAATATTCTGGTCAATTCTAAAATTTTCCTCGATGTTTTTGAAAATAACATTTTAACATGTGACGAAATATGCTGCTTCTAACGACGCATTTTTTTCTTTCTGTTTTTTCCCCTCCAGTATGGACAACTGCTGCTTTGCCAGGTAAGTTACGACTAATCGACATTTTCATACAACGAGAATCGATCATCATTTAAACATCTGTGAGACAGTGAAATGTAAAATCATAATAACTTAGAATGAAACTAGTCTTCGTCTCATATTCCTTGAAATTCACCGAGCAACCGTATACTTTAAGCACAACTACTGACTGTTTCATTAAATAAACCATAAATAAATTACTGAATATATAATTAAATACGGAATAGGTAAATGTATAAATAAATATACGCCACGTAAGCGAAGTAAATTTAGAACTGTTAAAGTTGTCTGATTATTTACCCTGAATTAACACGTGCTGTGTTCGTCACAATCCTCGCGTTGTTTCAGGCGCGTATGACCCCAGAGCTAGAAGAGTCCAAGATCCTCCAACACAGATCATAGGATCGAAGACATTTAATGTATCATTAGAGGCCTTGCGATGGGGGTAGAGTCTTCCCATGCGTCTGGGAGGATTTCAGAACTTAATTCTGAACTGGAATAATAATCTCATTACGTTATACCTCGTCCCTTGTCTGAGATGAACTTTCCACGTGCGATAGTTAGACTAGGTGACTAGTTTAGTAACAGTTATCTTTATTATCACTTTTTCTAATTCATTCAGTAACAGATCGGGATCGAACCTGAGATATTTTAAACCATTAACGTCCTAACCTTGTATTAAAAAGATCCTGGGTTCGATTCCAACATCTATCACAAAGAGTAAGGAGGTGACAACCCTGAAGAAGGCTGTCTTCTGGGTTATTGCGTCGCGTAGTCTTGTAGAGGTGGTCCTTGCAAGGACCTCTGAAACGTCGGTAAACTTCTACCAGAGTGCACGGAGCAACAACCCAGAAGACAGCCATCTTCAGACTCACCACCGATAAAATCTCAAATCTTAGAAAGTTTACAAGTCTGTCAGTAGGCCTATAAAGTGACCAAATCACCTGAAGATAGACGTAAAATAAACGCCCGAAACGTTGTATTTTTCAAGTATACACCAGACAATTGCCAATATGTAACGTAAAATATGTGTTTCTATAATAAATCAGTTGCTATCACAAACCTTTAGAGAATCACTGAACTGGGAGCTTTTAGCTGAAAAGGGAAATTAAAAACGTTCACTAGAGTGGGTGATAATTTTTGTTAAGGAGTGTAATAAAAACTCTCCGTTTGCTTTAAAAGGCGGTTCAACTGATGTGTGTCTATACTTTTTCGCTCACTTCATTAAACCGTGATATTATGTCTAGCATGGGAGAATCACAAACGTTACTTGTACAACGTTAATGGCCGTACGTTGACAGCTCTTCATCAAGTCGGAAACCAATACACTGGAATCTTGGTCAGAGCACAGCTGGCTCTTGAACCACAGTCACAGAACCTCCTGAGGGCACAGGTTAGTAAAACTCTTACCATAATGACGAATTAATTTATTCTGAAATAAATAATCTAGCGACTTAAAAGTGTATTTCATGTAAACAACATTTTTTTAAAAAAATAATAATTGTGACGTCCGACCTTAAAACTCAGCTAAACATATCAGCATTAAATTTCATTTGTTGTTTCAGCTTGTAAGTCCGGAATACGTGAAAGTACATTCGATACTTCCTGCAGGATGGAAGGAAGAGATTGATGCACGCCTTCTCTTATGGAAGCAACTGCCCTTAAAAAACAACCCTTTTGAAATCAAGCTGAATTCTAATGGATTAGTAAGTTTTTAAATTAAATAGCGTATATGTCAGAGAAATAATGAAATAATTTAAAACAAAATTTGTTTAATTTATAATTTTGACCAGACTACGTTTGCAAATTATAATTTTAGATCTTGGTATAATCTATAATAGTATATAATGTTTTAAAATTAAATTATTTGGTTATTCCGTCAAATCACAATGTATTGAAAATAAGTTAATTAAAATAATTAAAATATCATTCTTTGTTCCATATCGAATAATCGATTTACAATTGGAACAGTTACAACATGTTTCGGTTTTATTAAACCATCATCAGGTGTAAAATTATATTAAATTTAAAACTCAATTACAATTTTTTAACAATTATAATGTTTTGTAATATGCATTAATATAACGGGAGAGTTAATATTTAACTACAGTCACCATCTTGGTATAAATCACACCACTTACCCAAGGAGGTTTATCAAGATAAATATCAAGGATACAAATGCATAATTAAATATGACATTTTTATGTTAGGTAAAAGAAATTTTCGTCTCTGGGCAAACCACAGAGGTGGAAGCTAACATGCTGAAGGGTATTTTGAGTGAGCTACAGCTTAACACTCACGCAGTGGACGTCGTCAAACATCGTCAGAATAATGTTCCAGGGCCTGACTCCAAGAGCGCACAATTCCACGTAATAGAGGTTAGTGAAGAATTAGAGTTGTGAACACCCTGTAAAAGTGTCTGTGTATAAGGACTACGTTATATGTATTTAACATTAGCGTAACTTGAAATTAACACGTCAATATCAGATCTAACTTAACATAATCGTAATTCAGAACTAAATATTGGACACATTTCTATTCACAGAGCGTGGTAACCGGAGAATGCGAAGTTCTATACGACATATCCCCTCTGCCAACAACGATTATAAACGCTCGGCCGGAACTAGCACCATTGATCGACGATGAACCACTTATTCAGATTATCAAGTCTCAGAACTTCTCCAACTGCAATCAAAGAATTTTCCATTTTGGATTTGACGGTTTTGCGAACTCTCAGCCTGGAGGAAACATAGGTGACTTCTTGACCGTAAGCAATACTTTCTGTTATTTACGCATTCTATGTAGTCAGCCAATCACATAGAAATTAATCCTTTAATAAACGTCTACTTCAACGAACAGCAACTTTTCATTTCAATTTTAGACATTTCTTATAATTCTCACAACATACAGTGACTATTTCATTAAAGAACATAGACAAATTAAAGTCTGTAATAGCGAAGACTTGTGTTTTCTTCGCGGTACGGACTGAACTCTAAAATAATATTCAGATGACCTTCGGTTTTCCAAAGTTTATTAACAGTTGTCTGAGAACTATTTTAACAGCCATTAAATCGTTGACCGAAATTAATTTCGTCATTTGATAAGCGAAAAATTAATATATTACAACATAAACTTACTACATATTTAATTACACTGTGACTATTTTATAATTTTCAGCGTTCTTCAATGAGTCGCGTAGTGATCTCAGGTAGTCTTAATAAATTCATCATCCAGTCCTCCGTGACTACCAACAAGGTCCTTCTGAGTCCTGAGGTATACAACAACCAGAAAGGCATGTCTGTAAGTCGAGTCAACGTCACGTTGGAGTCGATTACGAAGGCACAGAAAATAGCACCTGTCGAAAGCGCTCGAAGTGTCGGAGATCTTGTCTATCGTTACAACAATCCGAACGGCGACAATCCACTTGCCAGAGACAAGAATAATCGGGCGTTTTACCTAGAAAATAACGACATCAGTAGCAGTAGCAGTAGCAGTAGCAGTAGCAGTAGCAGTAGCAGTGAAGAAGACAAGGAACGAAGAAAATCCACTAATCCGAAGAAAGTTAATTTATCCAAAAATAAAAATAATAATAAAGACGGGGATACTAATGACTCGTCAAACGATCGCTTTGGAAGATACAGAAGATCATTGGGGTCTAGAGAAGAATCCTCAAATAGCAGCAGCAGTAGCAGTAGTGAGGAAAACGACGAGCAGCCACGACCAGCGACCGATTCTGCACCCGACATACCATTTCTCCCATTCTTTGTGGGGATTCAAGGAAATAAAATTGGTATTTCCAAAAAAATTGACGTCGTTAAAACCGTAGTCAAACTTGCCACCAAAATTGGCAGTGACTTAGAAAATCCCGGTTCTTTAATCGATGAAAACACCCTCGCTAGATTTACCATCATGGCAAGAATTATTCGCACTATGGACCGTAACCAAATAGCGGAAGTCACAAACGCCCTCCAGTTCCGGGTTCCAAAGAACCCAGATCGCGGCGACAACATCAAAATTACAGCTTGGTGAGTACATTTACGTTAAATTTAATTTTAAAAAAAATAGGATACCACTGTATATCAATTTTATTCAGTAATATCAATAGATAACACAAATTTCAAATTGTAGAAATAGTAACTGAAAAATTACATTCAAAATCTGAAGTTCTCTTACTATTTTGCTTTATAACGTGAACAATTTCTTTTCGACATTTATTTCCACACTCTACTCTAAACCATTCGCTAATATTAATGTCTTTACTTAAAGATTATAAATTCCAATACTCTTAAATCTGTCCCACTATACGCCATGTAGGCGCTTGGGGGGAGAGGTGGTATAGCTCCTACTCATTCTTGACCTCGGCACTAGATGGCAGTCAGTGTTCAGCATCACGCCCCGGCCGGCTTTACCCCCTGGAAAGGACCCCGGTACCCATTGTAGAGGAGGCTGGGTGGGCCCCAGAGGCTAGAGAAAAAAAATCCTCTGTCCCCGTCGGGGATCGAACCCCGGTCGCCCAGTCCGTAACCAATCACTATACCAACTATTTTTTTATCTCCGTTTATGAAGACCATATGACACGCACTGTGCATGTAGCAAATACAAAGCTCTTTTTAAAATAATTTTATAATTCTTTACAGGGAATCCTTCCGCGATTCCGTTGCGCAAGCCGGAACCATCCCAGCCCTTTCAGCCATCACTGACTTCATCCGTAGGGGCCTTATACGAGGAGAAGAAGCAGCTGAGGTTGTCGCAGTTTTGACTCTCGCAGTCCGTACTCCTACTCCCGATTATATCGATCTATTATTCGTAAGTATTATAGGATATTAATTACGATCACTTACTTACTAAGATGGCTGTCTTCTGGGTTGTAGTGTGGTAGACTTTTAAAGATCGCCCCAAAGATCCTTACTGTCATCATCATGACGCATCGTCCTGATGAAGGAGGCAGCAAAGACCTCTGTAACGTCGGTAAACTTCTATCAGACTACACGGTGCTACAATCCAAGAACACAGCCGTCTTTGTACTCACCGCCTTGAGGTAGTTAAATGTTACTTAATTTTCGTTGTTTTCAGGAGTTGGTCACAGATCAGAGGACTAAACAGCAGATGTACCTTAATTGCACAGCAGTACTTACTTTCTCAGAAGTTCTACATGAGGTTGCCGTCAACAACCGAAGTGCAAACTTACGATACCCAGTGTACACTTTCGGTCGCATGGTTCCTAAGGAATTTCCTCCCTTGATAGAGAAATACATCCCATATTTGGGCAACGAATTCCGGAAGGCCATAGAAGAGGGAAACAGTCAAAAAATCCAATTATACACACGTGCGCTTGGAAATTTGGGTCATCCTATGAGTCTCCTTTACTTCGAACCTTGTCTGGAAGGTCGGATAAATGTGTCTAGCTACCAGAGACTTCTCATGGTCTCGTCTTTGAAGAAACTGGCTAACGCATATCCCGATATCGCCAGTTCAGTCTTACTCAAACTCTTCGAGAACATCGGGGAAAATAATGAAATTCGTATAGCAGCTTTATCCCTATTGATGGAAACAAAACCATCATCATTTATACTCCAGAGAATAGCCGAATATACCGACATGGATACCAGCAAAGATGTCGTCTCAGCTGTCCAATCCGCTATAAAATCTGCTGCAAACCTTCAAGAAACCTTTACGCTACCAATGTAAGCACGAACTTTCTCTGCATTTAACACGTAGTACAATTTTCTTTTAATGACCTTGAAAACTACATTCCATCAATTATCCGTGTCTTGTCCTATTTTTAAAAAAAAACACTTTAAAATGAAGTTAGTAATAAATTTGAAATTTGATGTTAATGTCTTCGTATTCATGAGATGATAAAGTTGCGTCATATTGTGATAAATATATATTTGTTTAAATCTTGTCAGTCTAATCACAATAAAATTCCTATTAAATATTAAAATATTACTATAATTAACATTTAAATATTTAAAATATATTAAAATGATGTTCTCTATCGAAATGTTCGATTTACATTAGAACATTCACTTTTCACACGACATGTTTCAGTTCCAAATGAACTATCTTCAGGTGTATAAAAATTATATAAACTTAAATATAATTTCTTAAATGCAACTTTTAGTCTTCGTATTCACAGGGCTAAAAATTCAGAGGCAGCTACAAATCTCCTGACGCCTCAAGAAATGGATCTTTCATACTCTACAAATCTTATGACAAGTTTCAAAATGGAGAACGTGAAAATTGGGTACGAGGATGTCTTCAGTTACATTGGAAGCAAGGACAGCGTTTTCCCTAAAGCCTTATTCTTTAAACTCTTCACTAGTATAGGTGGTGACACAACTGAGCAATTAAACGTGAGTAGAAATACCTAATCAAAGTTTTCTGTTATGAATTTGTCACGAATGGAACATCGATTTTCATTTCTTTGTTTCGTTACAGATCGTATCAATGTTATCTAGCGTCAGAGACACTCTAAATCTCATGAAAGATCAATTTGGAGAATGGACCGAGCACTGGAGACCTTCAGACAAGAAACCAACACACAAAAAATCAGGCCCTAACTGGACCGACGAGGAACTTGATAATCTCCTGGGAATTTTAAAGGGGAACATGGAACAAATAGAAGGAAGCATCCTCTTTAACTTAGCAGGAGGTCGGAGGTTTTTGCCATTTGATGACAGCACAGTGGAGAATGTTCCTAAGTGTAAGATTTTTTATTTTTTTTGTAATTTGGATATCCTCTGTTATAAGGAATTTATTAACGCGATACAACGCTAAGACGTCCCAACAGTTCATAAAGCGTATAAGGTCACATTCTGACATCTGACAAACGTTTATACAGACTGAATATGAATGTATTCTGGGTTCTTGTCGTAGAATTTTACCGAAGTTTCATGGGTGCTTATCAGGGCGATGAGAACATTAAATTTCACTACTTAAGTCTAGATCAACTGCATGAAAACAAGATGAACATGCTTAAAATTCCATTGGCATAAAAGCAAATACGATCGCCAGACACTTAAAACATTTTGTGATATAATTTAGAGGATTTTCAATAGACGTTCGTAGACTCAACGACACAAGATATCTTATGGATTGTTGTATCTCTTTGACAGTGGTGTCGTAAACATTTTTCGAGGGTGTCACAGAAAATTAATCATCCTAATATAAATTTGAGATTAATTTTTTTTAGATTTTTCCAGTTTATTTCGAATATCGTTTCAGGACTGTCAACTATTTCTTGAGATAATTTAAAAGATAGGCAATGTAACAGGGGTGTC